CTTGCCAAAGTCAAAGACAAATAGACTTCTTCTTTTCCTTTTTAAAAAGGGCCCTAAACATAAAAATATATTACTTCCACACAAACACAAAAGAAAAGAGAAAAAATGGTAATGATGATTTCAAGCCGCTTCAATCATCGTTACCATTTTTTTTCAAAGTCTAAAAATCATGGATATATCTAACAACCACGTCAGAGCACATGCATCCCTCTCTTTAAAGGGGTGCTTAAAGGAGGGGGACACCAAAAAGCATCAAAAGTCGACTTCAAAAACTCCAGAATAAGCGTTTTTTCTGGGTGGTACTTGGTCTGTGTTGTGGGCCCCACGACACGTGGCGGCCCGCAATTGATCCATTTTTTTTTTTTTTTAAATCCAAAAGAAAAAAAAATGAAACACTCCTCTATTGGGGTGTTTGGGATAAACATGCTCTCAATGAAACTTTGCCACCTTTTTATTTTTCAAGCCAGCTTAAAATGACCATGTTAACCAAAGAAGATGGTGGCACGTACATGTATAGTGGTTTCTACCACAATTTAATGGAAATGGTGAACAAAGAAGTGATACAAAATTTGAGATGATCTTTAACAGACATCGCAGCTATTGATTTCTCAAGAAACAAATTTTGTGGAACGATCCCGACATCCACTGGATTGTTGAAGGGTTTGCATCTTCTCAACTTGTCAGGTAACACTCTTACAAGCAGTAAACCTCAATCGTTGGCAAATCTAACAAAACTTGAGGCTTTAGACTTATCCCAGGATCAGATGTCTGGTCAGATTCCTCAAAATCTTGGCAGCCTCTCTTTTTTGTCGGTAATGAACTTTTCTTATAACAATCTCCAAGGTCCAATATCACTATAAGGCACACAATTCAAAAGACAAAACTGTTCAGCATTCATGAATAACCCCAGACTCTACGGTCTCTCATGAATAACCCCAGACTCTACGGTCTCGAAGATATATGCACATGTCCCAAACCCTACACCGCAAGAACTGAAGGATTTGTCGGAGGAGCCAAGGGAACAAGTGATTAGGGTGATAGCAGCAGTGATAGCCTATGGACCTGGTGTGTTATGTGGGTTCGTGATTGGACATATCTTCTCTCCTCACATACATAAATGGTTCATGTAAAAGCTGGGTCGAAAGCAAACTCAAAGTAAGTCGCCAGAAGTATTGTTAAACATCATCTCCTTCACGTGTTTGTGTCTTTGTGAAGCATATGTATGTTTCCAAGCATAATTTTACATTTTGTTGTTTTGTAATAAACGTCTTTGGTATTTTAAAATTGAAAAAATGCATTCAGAAACTTCTTTCTACATATATCACAATTCACAACATGTGCCAGTACGAATGTTTGAAATATAGACTCCGTAGTTAATCTATAACCGTATTAACTCATTAAGATATGGTGTGTATGCACACCGGTTATGTGAAATGCTATATGATTATGGTGATTTTGATTTTAACATTTGTCTCTTTCTTGGAAGCCCTTAATTCACGTCGTTTGTAGTTTTCCTTACTAAAACTTTCCCAGAAAAAAAAAAGGACACCCAATAAAAACTTTTCTTCTCCTAAATCACAGAGGACGAAAGTCTATCACACAGCGTCGTTCTTGCATTACAAAAAGTGGGGTATTGTCGGAACAAGTCGCCCTTTTTCACTAGCAGATAAGTGAGAGAAGCTCGTCTCGATCAAGAGTTAGAAAGGTGAAAAAAGAATCAACTAGTTTTGATTTGAGTATGCTACTGAATTCTCATATGTAATTTTTTCTTTTCACTCAAATGGAAGTTTCAGATTATAAAGTTTGGATTGGGGAAACACATTATTGGATCATAAATGCAAACAACCATCTCTCTTTTCAATGTCTTTGATGACTATAAAAAGAAGTGTATATGATTCCTCTTATAGCTTGGCCGGGAGGTAATGAGGAAAGTCCCAATCGGTCTTGATGTGGTTCCGAGTAATTTCTCTCAAGGAACGGCAGCCACTAAGTGCCATTGTCAGCTCGAACTCGTCTCTTAGCATCTGCAGCATCTTCCTCACTCCTGCCTCTCCGTTGGCTGCAAGCGAGAACAAGCTTGGCCTCCCAACCTAATCGAGCAAGTAATTATTATTTCAAAAACTAGGTATATGCTATTAGCAATGGGGGTGTTAAAAAAGAATGGGATAAATGTGAAAAAGGATAAAACAGAGGAAACCACAAAGCGTGTGTGATATGAATGAGAACTTACAAAGACACCTGAAGCTCCCAGAGCCAATGCTTTAAAGACATCAGTTCCACGGCGAACTCCACCGTCAAGAAACACCGGTAACCGACCCTCCACCGCTTTAACCACCTGCCATTTTTAAAAATTTCTCGGTCAAAGCAATTATTGTAAACAATAGCTATTGTTAACCAAGAAAAATCATTCATATCGATCTATTATACGCCTCTGCAGTTAGTATTGGATAGACCTTATACAGTAACTGTCCTAGTTAACAATCACAAACACCTTATTGATTATGGATCCACTACGTTCAAATTTCCATAACACAAGAATGAAAAAAGAAGAAGATGAAGGCTTTAGTTAAAATTGTTGAGAGGTTGACCTCTTCAAGAGCCATAATAGTTGCAGGGACATAATCAAGCTGACGAGCTCCATGGTTAGAAACTATAATCCCTGCAGCTCCATACTCAACCGCGATTCTTGCTGCCAAATTTTCAAATGATCAGAATGAATGTTCTTAACTTTATTAGAACTTTTAAAGTAAAAAAGGTTTGATGCAGAGTGTTACCATCCTCAGCTGTAATAACACCCTTGACAAGAATTGGCAAGCTTGTGATAGATTGTAGCCACTTTATATCCTAAACAGAGAAAAGAAGCAAGAAACTATTATGTTTCTGGATCTTGAGGAGCAAAACAAATCTGGAAACATGATTCAAACCTTCCAGCTAAGTGATTGATCAACTTGACCCGCAACATATGAAGCTAGCCCTGAGTCATTGGTCTGCATTTATCAACAGAAACAAAAAAAAGATATATAAGTATTAAGCATTTGGCTCTCAACTGTAGTCATCATTTGTAGCCACTGACCTTGTCTATTTTCCCAAGATCCAACCCTTCAAAGTTCTTCAACGTCAGACCTCTAGGAAGCGCAAATCTGTAAAGAGAGTACCATTAAGAGAAGAAGTGAGAGATCTCACAAATTGGTTTATATATATATATATATATGATGGTGGAGAAAGTTTCATCACCTGTTTTTGATGTCGGATTCTCTGCGACCAAGCCTAGGGGTATCAACAGTAAGAGCAATAGCTTTGAAACCAGCTTCTTCAGCTCGTTTCACAAGCTGTCTAACCACATTTCTGTCCTTATAGACCTAAAACAATAGCCAAAGTCAAGCCAAAACATATCTAGAAGAACAAGTACATGAAAGTTTCTATGCATACTTACATAGAGTTGGAAAAAGCGAATCCCAGGTCCTGTGGAAGCAACTTCCTCAACGCTACACGTAGCCCATGAAGATAAAGTCTGAAAATATATAATAACAGTACTTACACAGTTAAAAACAAAACCAGAGAGCCTTTCAAGAAAAACTTCAAAGTACACAAAAATGAATATTCAATAAGGTGTGTGAGAGAGAGATAGAATCAAAACCATGATTGTTCCAGCAGCGGAAGTAGCTCTAGCAGTTGCTAGCTCGCCTGCAACAATAATAAAGCCATTTTATTTCAGAAAGTTACTCTTAAGCCAAAATATACATCTCATGACATAAAGAACATACCATCAGGGTGAGCCATTTTCTGCATAGCAGTAGGAGCAACCATGATTGGCATGGATATGTTAAACCCTAAAACAGTCGTGCTCACATCAATCTTGCTTACATCTATCAGAATCCGAGGCCTAAATCTGTTTTATTTTTTTAATCAACCAGCACATGACCAAACCAATTAATTTAGTTAAGAGATAGTAAAACATAAACCAATATACTTTAAAACAATAAAAAATAAATAAAAGATGTGGATTCACTTACAGAATCCTGGAGAAGGCGTTACGATTCTCCTGAAGAGTCCATTGATCCTCTGCACCAGATGCATAGTAATCATAAACCATCTTTGGTAGTTTCTCCTTTGCGATCTTCTCGTATTCCATCACGTTTGTTATCTCCATTTTCTTTATAACTTTCTGCGTGGAATCAAACATCTCTTTCATGATTTCATCATCAAAAATCAATTTCAAGAATCAGAAACAAGAAGGAGGGCTGAGTCAACTATAACAGTACAATAAGCGATCACATAATCAAACCAAGAAAATCTGACCCATATACTAATATCACAAGATCGTTCACGAACTAATCATGAAGGAGAGAAGCTTGCAGTGAGCTTACCGAGAGAGAGAGAGAGAGAGAGGGCGGCTTGGTGTTCTTGAGAAGGTGGCGAAGAAAACTATAAAGAAAGATGGAAAATAACAATGTGGATTGAATATTCCCGATATAGAAGATCTCATTAGTCACAAAATTACGTACGTCTCTGTTATTATTATTTTTTAAATACTATATAATATATAACTAAAGTGAGACAGCTACGTTTCTATTTTATAGTGATGCAGCTAATAAGTTTCTGCAATCCTATTAGAATATTACTGTACAGTGTCAGTGCATGCATGAACGCATATGTTCCTACCTCTTACAGTCAACGACAAAGGTCTTATAAGGGATATGATCTCATCATCCCACATAACCACCTCAAGATTAACCCTGGTTAACGGTGTAGGGCAAGTAAGATGTTAGAATCTTTGCATATATGTTACACTGATGCTGACATGAACCCAATTAGGTGGGTTGGGCAGAGAGATAGATACCTTCACCTAATTGGAAGAGTACTCACAATCAGTTTTTCATTAGCAAACTCCGGAGGGCATGTCCTTGATTCTTATGAACATGCCCATAAGCATCAACACTGCCACATTCACCCACAAAGCTGAAATGTGATAGCTCTCTTTCTTGGATCCTCTGTTTTTTTTCTGACTTGAGTAAGAAACTGTTTTTGTGTATGGAACAGCTTTCAACGACGGATTCTGAAGAAAACATCTCTGAATTTGTTCTTCCTAATGTTTGTTGTTGTTGTTAATACAATTTTGAAAAGTTTCAGACTTTTGTCTTGTAAATGTAAATACAATGACATGGAATAAAGTTGGGCATAATGAAGAGACCGAATAAACAAATGTTACAGACTAGCATTTTGTTACACATAGATGCAATCTCTCGAGATATCTACTCTACTCTTTAAGCTGGATCAGTGAAAGTTGTTCCTCAATAGAGCAATCGACATGGCAAGACGTCCTGCAAGAGGAAGGGATTAGGATCATACCAAGACAACGCTGTTCAGTAGGGGAAGGAGAGGATCTTCTTATGCTGCGATACTCCACCGTGTCTTGAAGAAGTATGTTTCCTTGTTTGTCAATGCAGTGGAAATTGCCAAGGAAGAATCTCCCGTCTTTGATTCCAACGAGCATCTGCCGGAACAAGAGCTTCCTCACTCGTGATATCGGATCTAAACTTGAATCTTCGGAGGTTGATGTAACAACGGTGGTGCTTCTCTCTGCTTCTTCTTGTTCCATCTTCCACAACAGGTTCTTGTTCTTGAATATATATACTTAAAACATCAAGAACACACAACAAAGAAACAATCAATGTTATAAACTTTGAATCTTATAGAAGAACTAATCATCACAAGACAATTCAAGCCACGCTAGCTCTATTTTACAGACCAATGAATCATCAACAAGAAACAGTAATCTCTGAGATTCATATGCCGAGAACCATAGATAATAAAACAAAATTGAACAAGGAACGATATACAGAGTGAGAAAAGATGGTGTACGTAGTAGCGGTAGTCTTCAGATACAAGGATTAATCTACGGCGTCGATCCGCAGCTGAGACGATTGTTGGAGAAGGCGAAATAGATTGTCAGGTCTCGCTTGTAGGGGCAGGCGAGTGGGACGTGGGCCTTAATTCCATTGTCATTATCATACATTAGTCCATATTAAAGGCCCAACTGTAACAGCAACGTATTCGCTACAGTTTGTTTTATAAATGTCATCTTTTTTTTTTCTGTACAAGTATCAAATTATATACTCCTTTTTTTTTTAACACTATATTATATTTATATAACAAGAGAGTGATACAATGGAGACAATTGAGATCCATAACCTATGGATATAAGAGTGGATACAAGTGAGATAACCAAGAAGGGCAACCTCTAGAGATGTAAGATTGAAAACGATTTTGGTTGGTGACACTTTCCGCAATGAGCTTTGTTCCTTTGATATCATTCGGAGAGTGGAATTTGACTTTCCAAACATTAAATCTTTGAAGCATTGGCAATACCTGGGAAGAGAAATACTTGAGAGATGGCCAAGAGGTTGGCTTCGTTAGAGCATTGATAAGATCGGAGTCATCTCCCACAAAGAAGAGGGAATCGTAATTGATCGTTTTTAAACAATCAATAGCCCATTTCCAGCTTTCAAATGATGCCTCAATCTTAGAGTGAATTCCAGTGAAGGATTGTCTACTATGGAGAAGGACATTCCCATGTTGATCACGTAAACTCTAAGCAGCACCACTCTGTTTCTTATTTTTATCCCAAGATGTACCTATCTCACATTTCAGCCAAAGGGGTGGAGGAGGTTTCCAACCAAACAACATCTTTTTCTTTCTTTCCAAATCAATAGCTTTCTCTTTAAGATCAAGCGATTTAACTTGGAACCAGTGATCTGCCTCTTGAAAGATGTTGTTAATGAAGCTATGTCCCTTGTAAAATAGATTATGGAAAAGGAAGGAGTTGCGGTTCTTCCAAATGGACCATATAATCCATGGTCCACTTCTTCTAAGGTTTTCTGGAATTCTTTGATCCTTCCCTGTCTGTAAAACATATGCTATGTTGGAATAGACAGAGTTAGGATCAAAGCCAGATAAAGGATGAGGAAAGCCGCTATCCGCCCAAGAGCGTCTTGCTGCCGAGCAAGATAATAATACATGATTGATTGACTCACTTTCAAGACCACATAATTGACATCTAGTATCGATTTTCATTCCCCTATCAATGAGACTATCAGCCACTGACAAGGCTCCACTAACAGCTTTCCAAAAGAATACTCTAATCTTAGGTTCAGTAGGAGTGGACCAAATGACATCCTTCAGGCCATTAAGAGAAGGTTGCACATTACCATTAGTGAAAGCCTCCTTCTTAGCTTCTCTTTCCGCAAACCAATAGCCCGACTTAACAGTATATTCATCCGAACGTGTATGATTCCATAGCTGAAAATCTTGAGAGGAAATCACTGGCTTGATCTTTTTGATGATAGAGATATCATGATCGTAGAAAAGATCATTCAATTGATGATGATCCCATCTATCTGAATCATTTATCAACAAGTGACTTACTTTGAGGTTTAGATCCACAAAAGTGTTTTTCATTAGGGGAATACGCATCCTGTCACCATCAATTAACCAAGGAGACGTCCAGACTGAGATGGAAGAACCATTTCCAACCATTGGCCTTAGACCCTTAGAGAGTAATTCCCTACCAAAGAGGATGTTACGCCAAGCATAGGAAGGCCTACTTCCCTTTACCGCTGAGAGAAAATGATCATTTGGAAAATATCTACTCTTGAGAAAGCGAGTAAGAAGGGATGTAGGGTTAGAGTTTATTCTCCAGGCTTGTTTAGCAAGTAAGGCTTGATTGAAGATTTCAATGTCTTTGAAACCCATGCCACCTCTATCCTTTGGAATGCATAATTTATCCCAGCTCATCCAATGAATCTTTGCTTTGTCTTCAGAAGATTGCCACCAAAAGTTTGCCATAGCTGCGGTTATATTTTTGCAAGTAGTTTTAGGAAGTCTAAAACACATCATGGCATATATAGGCATGGCCATAGCAACTGACTTTAAAATGATTTCTTTTCTTGCCTGAGAGAGAAATTTAGTATACCAAGAAGACATCCTTCCTTTCATCCTATCTTGAATGTAGTTTAGGAGATTAACCTTTGATCCACTAAAACATTCAGGTAATCCTAAATACGTACTTGCACCTCCTTCTGCATATATACCTAGGTGTTCCTGAATTTGCTCTTTTACCATAGGGTCAATGTTCTTGCCAAACGTGAGAGAAGACTTAGAAAGATTTATGACCTGACCAATAGCATCTTCATATTTGTTGAGTATTCTTTGGAAGACTTGACATTGGTTGATGTCTGCCTTAAAAAGAAACAGACTGTCGTCTACAAAAAACAAATGGTGGATGGATGGACCGTCAGTGGAAAAATGAATTCCTTCCAATAATCCATCATTAGATGCCTGATTGATCATGTGATAGACCTTCTGCACATAAGACAAAAAGGAAGGGTGAGATCGGATCGCCTTGACGAAGACCCCTTTGTGGAGTAATGCACCCATAAGATTGACCATTTAGGAGGACCGTGTACTTGATAGAAGTAACACATGTCATGATCCAGGAGACCCACGTCTCATGGAATCCAAGAGCTAGTAAAAGGGCTTGAAGATAATTCCATTCAACCCTGTCAAAGGCTTTTGACATGTCTGTTTTTGCAGCCATGTAGTTTTTGGAGATATAATCATGTGTTCTTAAGCTATGAACCGATTCATGAGCTAAGATGATGTTGTCCGAGATGAGACGGTCAGAGACAAAAGCAGATTGGTAGGGAGATACAATGTCTGGTTAGAAGGCCTTGAGTCTTGAAGATAGTATCTTGGAGATAGCCTTATACATTACAGAGCAGAGACTAATAGGCCGTAGATCTGTCATAGATGTGGCTTTAGGCTTCTTGGGAATTAGACATATTTGAGTATAATTCCATTCTGAGGGTAGAATGCCATTTTCAAAGAACCCCTTTATCTCATTGGTGAGTTGTTCTCCTACAATATCCCAGTAGGACTGGAAGAACATGCCTGACATACCATCAGCTCCAGGGGCACTATCAGTTTTAATGGAGAAAACTGCCTCTTTTATTTCTTCTGAAGAGACTAGACTAATAAGGGATCAATTCATGCTCTCAGTGACCTTTGCAAGGAGATTAGAGAGAATGTCTGTATAATCTTCTGAGTTGGAAGATTGGTAGAGGTTTTTGAAGTAGTTAATTGCCACTTCAGCCTTGGAGGCTTCAGCTCTATGAGTAGTACCAGAGTTGTCAATAAGTTTGACAATGTGATTCTTTGCTCTAGAAATTTTCACAGCCGTGTGGAAAATTTTTGTGTTGCCATCACCATGAAGGATCCAATCGTCTTTGTTTTTTTTGTTTCCAAAAATTCTCTTCATCCCTGTAAGCCAGAGAAAGAGATTTCTTGAGTGAAAAGGTTTTGAGTAAGGAGGGGTTAGAAGATGACTCCTCCTCCTCAAGTTTCTGTTGTAGAGAAGTAATTCTGTCCTTAGAGTTAGCTTGATTTTCTTTTTTCCAAAGACTTAAACCCTTCCGGCATTGCCTTTTACGGGAAGAAACAGACAAGGAACTATTCCGAGTAGGTGAATTCCAAGCTTTGATTATAGTTTCTCTAACTAATGGTTGATGTAGCATTCTACGATCAAAACGGAAGGAGCCTTGGTAAGAGTCTTGAGATGACATTAGTTTGATAAGGACAGGCCGATGATCCGACCCTCTCTTGGCAAGAAATGCTTGGTTAGACGCTGGAAACATAGAGAACCAAGTCTTGTTCCCGAAAGCTCTATCAAGTTTACTTTGAATCCAATGATTTCCCCTACGTCCTCCCCAAGTTAGGTTATTACCAGTACTTGGGAGTTCAAACATACCACATCCCTCAATCATTTCCGAAAAAGGAGCAAAGGATGTGTCACTTCTTCTAGGACCACCTACTTTCTCTGAGTTATTTAAAATTTCGTTAAAATCACCAAAGATAGACCAACTTGATGATGTCCTATTGGCTCCAAATCTGTTGATACGTTCCCAAACAATGTGTCTTAACTCAGGTTTTAGATTCCCATATACGCACGACAAATAAAACTGCTTATCTTCATATATCACTTGAACATCCAAAAGGTTCTTGTCCGCATACAAAACGATTACATCTACACTGCTTTTCCAAAAAAGAGCAAGACCACCACTCACCAAGAGGGGGTCTACAGTGATCAAATTATATACTCCTTATGTTTCGATTTATTTGTCGTTGTAGGATAAATTATTTTTAAAAAAATAAATGTCGTTTTATGATTCCTATGAAATTTTCTTTTAATTGTTGTTTTATGATTCCGATGTAATTTTTTTTTAATTTTATATGCTATTATAATTTGTTATAGACTAAAATGTGGTTAAGTTTATAGGTAATTAGGTGATCCGTCCGCGCGCACACCAGGGTTTAATTGTATTGTTTAATTTTTATAGTTGTATATTTAGAATTTAAAGTAGTTGTAACATATAAATTTTGTGTGGAAATATATTAAAATGTATTATGTGGAAGCTTTTAAAAGAGTAATGTTCTTATGATTGGAGGGTGGTGAAGCTGGTGTCGTTTTCTTTCAGAAGACAGGAATTATGAAGTTGTTTATTTGACGAAGATGAACATGCTAAAGATGTAGTGACTTCTACG